TTAGGATTCTCACTAGTTTTGTCTTCAGTTTGTGTCGGTTTTGCTTCTCTTGGCTTTTCTCTTGTATTCGAGGAAAGGGCTATCTCTTACAACTGCACGTGACTACACGCTTCAGGTTCTTCCTCACTTGACTCAACCACGAAGGATTCTGGTGCTTTAGGAATTGGTAGCCCCTCTCCATGAGGAACTGGACGTATTGCCGATGGAATATTTGGATAGTGCACAGATAACTTTTTCTTCTTATTTAGCCCTTTTACAATTGGAGGCACTATACAAAAGTAACAATTACTAACATGATCTGTTGGCTCTCTCCAAATCATTGGCACAGCGAAAGGCATAGATGCCTTTTTTCCATTCAACCATTGCTCCAGTGCCGTCCCACAAGAATTGCAGCATATATGTGGTGCCCAGCTCTTGTCCTGGTCTCCTATCTTGCAGCCAAAATACAAGTTGTAGGCTTTCTTAATCATTCCTGTTATCCTCCTTTTTTGTGAGATAAAAGTTATTTCACCGCAGATATAGCAGAAATTATCTGCTTTATTCACACAAGTTCGAGGCATTACTGAGTAGCCTATATAAGCATAAAACGAAATGTAAAGACGCTGTCGAACTACAATCAGCTACAGATACTGCAGCTTTTATGCAGTGAAGTGATGCAATTAAAGGCTAATATTGCATCATCTCAGTATACATGCAATTTTCTATTGGTCACCAGTATCAATTGCGCAATATGCAGCTGAAGTTGCATCATAATTTTGAATGGCTTACGTCATTAGATGGGTGAATATATCATGGAAACTAGAGCCAATCAACATTTTTTAGGGTCATTTTCGTTTTCAGCACCCCAAAATTATGTAAGATTAGCTAATTTTATGCCCAAAACTTTTTACCTGTTGAACAGTGTTATGGCTTACAGCTCATGAAAACCCCAAATCCACAATCTCAGAAAATTAGAATATTGTGAAAAGGTGCAATATTCTAGGCTCAAAGTGTCCCACTCTAATCAGCTAATTAAGCAATGACACTTACAAAGGGTTCCTGAGCCTTTAAATGGTCTCTCAGTCTGGTTCAGTAGGAATCACAATCATGGGAAAGACTGCTGACCTGACAGTTGTGCAGAAAACCATCATTGACACCCTCCATAAGGAGGGAAAGCCTCAAAAGGTAATTGCAAAAGAAGTTGGATGTTCCCAAAGTGCTTTATCAAAGCACATTAATAGAAAGTTATGTGGAAGGGAAAAGTGTGGAAGAAAAAGGTGCACAAGCAGCAGGGATGACCGCAGTCTGGAGAGGATTGTCAGGAAAAGGCCATTCAAAAGTGTTGGGGACTTTTACAAGGAGTGGACTGAGGCTGGAGTCAGTGCATCAAGAGCCACCACACACAGACAGATCCTGGACATGGGCTTCAAATGTCTTATTCCTCTTGTCAAGCCCGCTCCTGAACAATAAACAATGTCAGAGGCATCTTATCCGGGGTAAAGAAAAACAGACCTGGTCTGTTGCTCAGTGGTCCAAAGTTCTCTTTTCTGATGAGAGCAACTTTTGCATCTCATTTGGAAACCAAGGACCCAGAGTATGGAGGAAGAATGGAGAGGCTCACACTGCAATATGCTTGAATTCCAGTGTGAAGTTTCCACAGTCTGTGTTGATTTGGGGAGCCATGTCATCTGCTGGTGTTGGTCCACTGTGCTTCATTAAGTTCAGGGTCAACACAGCCATCTACCAGGAGATTTTGGAGCACTTCAGACAAGCTTTATGGGGATGCTGACTTTATTTTCCAGCAGGACAAGGCACCTGCCCACACTGCCAAAAGCACCAAAACCTGGTTTAATGACCGTGGGATTACTGTGCTTGATTGGCCAGCAATCTCGCCTGACCTGAACCCCATAGAAAATCTATGGGGCATCGCCAAGAGAAAGATGAGAGACATGAGACCGAACAATGCAGAAGAGCTGAAGGCTGCAATTGAAGCATCCTGGTCTTCCATAACACCTCAGCAGTGCCACAGGCTGATAGCTTCCATGCCACGCCGCATTGAGGCAGTAATTGCTGCAAAAGGGGCCCAAACCAAGTACTGAGTACATATGCATGCTTATACTTTTCAGAGGTCCGATACTGTTCTATGTACAATCCTTGTTTTATTGATTGCATGTAATATTCTAATTTTCTGAGATTGTGGATTTGGGGTTTTCTTGAGCTGTAAGCCATAATCATCACAATTATGACAAATCACGGCTTTTACTATCTTGCTTTGCATGTAATGAGTCTATTTCATATTCTAGTTTCACCTTTTAAGTTGTATTACTGAAATAAGTGAACTTTTGCACGATATTCAAATTTTTCGAGTTTCACCTGTATATGTATGTTATGTTTAGTGTTTTTGAGCAGCGCAGCACTACACACTGTTTTAATGTTCCAATGTTGCAGTGTGATCACTGGAAATGAGGAGACTGAGAAAATTATTCCTCTTGACTGCAGCAGACTGATGACTGTGCTTCAGCTTAGGCAAAGTGACTTGACTGGAGTTTAATGACTGCTCTTTAATGAAATATAGATCAATAGAAGGGGCTGCTGTACTTTATGACATGCTAGAAATTTATTTAAAAGCTGTACAGTTTTTGTTTTCCACTGGAGCCCCTTGACTACATAGGCTTTTTTATGTAAAAGTTAACTTAGCCTTTACTATTGATTTCCAATCAAAAAGGTTTGTTGCTATAGAAAAATTCATTGTTGGATGATATTGCAGTGTATGCAGTGGCTGTACAACCCATTGAAGCAGGATATTGTTAGGCCAGGCTTCAGTTCTTTCTAGCATCCCAAATCTGCTTGGAACAGTCTTTTGTTCCAAACAGTGCTTTTAAAAACTGTACAAAATTATATGCAAATGGTTAATGATCATCCCCTTCACACTTGAAAAAGAAACAATAATTAAAATGTGTACCCATTTACACAAGGGCGGTCCACTGTGTAGTGTTCAAAGCACAAGCATTAAGGAACATTGTGCTAAGGCAGCCAATTCATTTTAATGGACTGTCAACATTCTACAAAGGACTTAGTTTGTCTAGAGCAGCACACTGCAAAGCATGATAGTGTGCTATCACGTGTTGCAGTACAGTGCAGTGCGGGTGTGTTGGAAGGGTGCTTTGGGGTGCCATACACAATGAATAGAACTGTAGCGCATCAATACATTGTGATAATTGTGGTCGTTAATTGCAGCACACCAGTGTGAACAGGCCCTATATGTTCCAATATATGCACAGAAAGCTAAATTAGGTCAAGAAGTTGTGGTAGATTTCTCTTATCTTTGTGATTTAATACTGGCAACAAGTGCATTATCAATCAAAGGAATCATACAGCCTTTAATGACACGTTAGTTACATCTGTGTCCCCAGTGGCAGCCCTTAAAAATGTATTGAAGCCAAACCTTAAGCCTTGGTTCACACCTATGTGTTTTGCAGTTTGTTTTACATTTTACAGAAACACACTACAGTCCTTTTAACATGGTTTCCTATGGATTTAGTTCACATCTGTGCATTTTGAGCCAGTGCGTTTTTTTGGAAAGGGTCAGTGGCTTTTTTTCCCACGGCAGATTGCATTTTGTCTGTAATAAACTTCAATAGACCCACACCAAAAATGCAAGTGTTGCGCTTTTGATGCATTTTTGTGGGGTTTTCTTGGTTAATAGGACAGTATGACAGTTCTGTTTATGTTGTGTGACTTTGATGCAATGTTACATTCCCTGGCACTCAAGTAGGATCAACGTTGCATTACAGTTGCATTAAGGCCATATTAAAGTAGTGCAGTAATCTTTGTATGTCCAAAGTTGCATGCTAGGGTTAGGGTTAAGGGCTAGGGTTAGGTTACATGTTAGGGTTAGGGTAAGGGCTAGGGTTAGGGTTAAATGTTAGGTAAAGGTTAGCTTTAGAGTTAGGATTAGAGGTAATTATTAGGGTTAGAATGCTAACCATAACTTGGCTCGGCTAATGGTAACCCTAACTATTACTGCTAAACCTAACCCTAATGTTTTCTGCTAACCTTAACCCTACCCCTATCATTTAACCCTTAACCCTAACATTTAACCCCAACCCTTACGCTAACATTTAACTCCAATCCTAGCCCTTAACCCTAACATTTAACACTAACCCTTAACCCTAACCCTTAACACTAACATTTAACCCTAACCCTTAACCCTAACTCTAACATTTAACTCCAACCCTAGCCCTTAACCCTAACATTTAACCCTAGCCCCTAACCCTACCCTAACATGCAACTTTGGACATACAAAGGTTCCTGCACTACTTTGATGTGACTTTGTTGTGATTTTTATGCTCCTTAAGTGACAAAGAGTGTAAAGTCGCATCAAAGTCGCACTACATGAACATTACTGTCATACGTTCCTATTAGCTAAAAAAAGGAAAACCTCAAAACATATCAAAAACATGTGCTCAAAAATGCAAAACGCAACACAAAATGAAACACAAAGAAATTCATCAATAGCAGCCTTCATGAATGTGAACCTAGCCTTAACCTCCCTAGCAGTCTGATTATGTCCATATTTCTGTACTCAAAGTGGTAAATTTTTTTGCATAGAAATATGTATTTTTTTTATTGTAGGCCTGTAATTTTTAGGAATAACTCACTGAAATCTGTCCGAACAAGAGTCTAGTAAACATCCCGGGTATGTTACAATTTGAAACACGAAATCATAAATTATAATTTAATAAATAATCATAAAAAATAATATAATAATAATTAATTTAATTCAATGATATATTTCAAATTTTAGTGTTTTTGGTTTGATTATAGCACCAAGTTCGCACATCATTGAGCAAAGTCGCAAAATCGTTTTCAGTGTCTGATGACGAATTTCCCCACAAATCATTATCACTCAATTCTGCAAGTGGTTCTGATTTACTATCGCTGTTCTCTAGCTGGTCTAAAACCGCTTTTGACCTAAAGGGACGCTTTTCGGACGCCATGGACATTTCTCAGTGTCCAGGCAGAAAGAACAGTAAAAATGCAGGCAGGGCACAGGACAAAGCACTAGGGACAAAATGTATGTGAAATGGTTTGATACAGTAATGTTTTATTATGTTATTTTAGTGAATTTAGTGAATGTCACTTTTTGTCATTTTCAAATTTCCTGCCGTTCCGTCCCGACTCTCGCAGGGGACGTAACCCAGATTACAGATGCCGGCATCCGCCGGAGGACATTACAGGGGACACTGCAGGAGGGACATCGCGGGAGCGCAGGACAAGGTATGTAAAGAAGAGATTCCGGAGCAGCACCACATGGTAAGCCCGAGTGTAGCTCGGGGTTACCGCTTGTAGTACTGAAACTTTACCCGAGTGTAGCTCGGGAATACCGCCAGGGAGGCTACGCAGCATTAAACCCACAAACAAAAATGTAATATATTGCTTATCAGTCCTTAGATGTGGTGGATGCAGCAGTTTTCCCAAAAGGAACAAAAACTATTGCCATGACTGCTAAAAAAGTGTTAGCTGGAGTTTGGCTTCAATTTGTTTTGGCAAGTCTATCTAAATCTGCTCGTGCATCTAACACTACCCTCTCCCCACACTGACAATCCTGCTGTCTAAAAGTGTCTCCATTGCTCCTCTATCCAGAGTGAAGATACCCTAAGACAGGAAGTGTGTTACTGGCCAGATCAAGAGGTGAAAGTAAAGGAAATATGATTAGTAAGCTGCAATATCTAATATTTTTGTTTTGGGGTTTAATACTGCTTTAGGTAAACCTAAAAGGTCTGTTGTGGTGTCTGCAATTATCTGTGTTAGTTTGGAAATCAATTCCCTTGCCCCTCTTTACTCCATTTTATTCCAGGCTCAAACTTTAGATAGAGAATAGTAAAAGCTGAGATTCAGCCACACCTTTTCTTCACCTGTTATCAGGGTGGTAAACCCGCTGTGATTTTACTGAAAAACAGGACTGTCACTTGATAGAAGTGAAATCTTAACATTACTACATCTACTGGAAGGATCAACGGCTAACAAAACCATGTTGCAGGGCAAAATTCAATTCAGAAAATTAAAAACTGCTTTATAGTTCCACTTTAATTTTGACTTTGTTTCCTAGAGGGTAGAGACACAGGGATTGATTAGAAGATCTAAGCTGGCCATACACCAGTAGAATTTCATTCAACAAAATATGTTTTTGAAACATAGGTTCATTTTTCTAATAATAGTATTAAATCAACAATTGTTTTCTATCTTAGTGATGAGTAAAATTGAAGGAAAGGGCTGAAAACTTTTTCTAGAATAAAGGAAATTCTAACTACTTTTGTTAGGGAAAATTCTTGTGTAATGCGCATGTGCATTACGAAATTGATCATAGAATGCAAAACATTGGTTGGCAATTGGTTATACAAAATATGTTTAGTCCATAATGTTACTATAGAATGCTCTGACAAGTGATTTTTCTAATTTCCATAGCTTCCAGTAATTTTAAACCCTCTTTTTTTGTAAGCAACTTTAATCACTTGAAGTTTTTTTTTTTTAAATCTTTGCTCCAGTTTAAGCTGATGCCATGACTGCTGCCCCAGGGTTCCTGTTTCAGGGTGGCTGCTTTCACTTGCAGTGTCCTTTTGAGCCACCCTTGCATGCAGACACTAGAGTTAGAGGGTGTGTCTCCCTACAGTGTGTAGCTCAATAGAAATGCACTGCCCCATAGCTTGGGATGGCAAGGTTTCCCTGCTCCTCCTTCCTCCTCTACCATCCCTTTAGACTGAATCGTCCACTGTTAACTCTTTCCTGTGAAAACCAGAAGTTCAGGAAAACAGCACTAAGAGAGCAGGAGCCAGCAACACTGTAAACTGAAAGTGCTGGTGAAAGAACCTTGCAAAGAGTTACTTACAGTTTACTGGGGAATTTTTATATTGTCCTCAGTGTGCTAAACTAAAAATGCTGAGGGTTTATTACCACTATTACAAAAAGCTCTGGCTCACCACCCACATACACTTGTCTCACAACAGGGTTTAAAAGTCACCTGCTCCAGGAATTGAGAACAGTCACAAGAGCCCAGCAGTGTCTCAGTAGTCAGACAGTCCACAGCTCTCACAACTGTGTCCTGGTTCACTCATGGTCACCAGCTGCTTGCTTCCTGCTCTTTTCAGCCCTTTCTCGCAGGGGGTTTGACACCTTCAGGTCCAAGGTACCCATAATCAGGGTTTGAGGCTCTTTCCCACCCAAGATATCTCCAATCATCCACATTCCAGGTCCCATATGAGGACTTCAATACCAGGCACTTTAAAACCCTTTCTGCCCAGGACAACTTTCGGCGCTGCCAATTTGAATGACAATTATGCGGTCATGCAACACTGTACCCATGTTAAATTTGTATCATTTTTTTTCACACAAATATACCTTTCTTTTGTTGGTATTTAATCACCACTGAGTTGGAATTTTGGGGAAGAAAAACACATTTTTCTTTGTTTTTACAATAAAAGTTTGCAAATAAATAATCTTTCTTCATAAATGTAAGCCAAAATGTATTCTGCTACATTTCTTTGGTGAAAATAACTCAAATCAGTGTTTTTATTATTGATTTATTCTGTAGGAAGGTTATAGAGTCCATAAACTATGGTATATACTGTATCTGAAAATTGATCAATCCCAATGCACTGATGGCCTATCTCGTTTCTTGAGGCCCAAAAATGCCGGGACAGTACAAATATCCACAAAATTACCCCTTTTGGAAAGTAGACAGTCCAAGGCATATAGTAAGAGGCATGGCAAGTTTTCTGAAGTTGTAATTTTTTTCGTCATAATTGTTTGGCAAATTAGTAAATTGTACTACTCTGGGGTAGTGATCAGGATTTTTTTAACACATTATGATTGTTTATACCAGTGAATTTCACTGGTATAAGCAACCATTTTTACTGAATAAAAATGATTTGTTCAGCGTGTGTTGTGATTGTCCACAGTTAATTAAATGGTACAGATGGGCTGTGATAGCTCCTTTCTGTACCATGTGATCACTGTTACCAATCACAGCCAAGGACACAATTGTACACAATGAATGGCATGAATTGAAGCCATTCATTGTTTACAATTGTCATGTGATCTGCTGTGACTGGTACAGTGATCTGTCATCGACTGAGTCCGGTGCAGGTTCTTTTCTGGGAGGACATTATATGACGTCAAATGGTTATTAATCCTGGGAAAACTGCAAATCAGTTTTCCTCTTTATTGGATTACCCTGAAATTCCTCTCTCTGCAAAAGTTAGAATCCGTCAGTACTCAAAACTGCTGTTTTGTCATCCCCTTAAAGAGTCAACAACCCAATTAATAGGGACACACATCTGCCATCCAGGACCCATCCCTAGCATCCTGAACACCTATGACATGTGTTGAGAAATAATTTAAAATTGTGCAAGTACCTCTATACCTTTTCTAAAGGGATGGAATGTTTGTACTACTTGTTAGTGGGAAAGCTAGTTCATGCATCTGTTCCACGTTTGATTCAATATAACATTTTTAACAGGTGTGTGAAGGCTAGTAATGACTTAGCAGAAATAAACTAGAGGTTAAAAAAAAGCTAAACATAAAACTAACATAGAAATCAAAGCAAAGCACAATTGCTTGTTGGGCAGGAAATGCCTTTGTTTGGCTCCACATCTAAAATGTTTAGTGTAGTTTGGAGCTTAAGGAAAATATAGCAAAAGCTGCTTTAACTTTTAATGAATAATAACCTGTTCTTTCTTGCTAAAACCTCCTACCTTTTTCCACATAGCTTTTTTTCCCACGCTGAATGTTTTCATTTTGCTGCAGGCAAGCTGCCAATTGTAACTCTGTTCAGAGAGAGCAGATGCAGACAGCGCTTCCTCTCAATGAGCTGTGGGAGATATTATACATTATACAGAAACCTAAGAAGCAAGAATGATAATGAAGGTTAATAATGTACAGAGAGAAGTAGCTAAATGTTCTATTTTCATCTTACACTGCTTGTTCCGTGAAATTACAGTGTCCTTATCCATGCTGCGTTCTGTGCATGTTTGTCAGTAATTTATAGGTTTTAGGTTTTTTTTTTTTTTCTGGTGTTTCTGAAGTTTACCTTTTGTTCTAAAACGTTTTGCAAAGACCAGATAATTCACTTTTCATTGGCAGTTCTTTTTAATTATACTTTAAAGATAAAAGATTTAGAGATTAAAACCTTCCTATAGATTCTAATAGCTGAGCAATTTAAATCCCTAGATAGCAGCTATCAATAATTTTATTTTATTGTGGAATTCAGGGAAGCTGCTAATATGCAAATTAACCATTCTCCTAAGAATAATTTGTTTTCTGTACCAGCCTGTTCAGTGGGAGTCAATAAGAGGCAAACTCTGTTCCCATACTTCGCCATTAGCATGTATAAAATGCTGAAGCTACACATAGTGGTTGATTTACTAAAACTGGAGCATGCCAAATATGGTGCATGGTAGCCAATCAGCTTCTAACTTCAGATTGACAAATTAAGCTTTGACATAAAAAAATGGAAGTTTATTGGTTTCTGTGTAGAGCTGCACCAGATTCTGCACTCTCCAATTTTAGTAAATTAACCATATAGCTTCTTTATTAAAATGCTTCCACATAAATATGACCATTGGGTACAAGGACTCCATAACAAGTAAGTGGGTTCATGATTTTTTTTTTTCAGTTACGTTATCAGTTTACATTAAATGTAAATCAAATAGTGGTGTCATGTCTGCAGCACTCCCTTACTGTTACAATGAAACCATAACATTTACAACCCTGAAATACCCATGACCAGGATAGATCAAATGTCACCTTCATTATCACTCTAATAGATCCACCTTCCCCACTCCACTTTCCAATAGCCTCCCCACTTCTTCAAAAAGAAGACACACTACTCCAGAGTGGAATTAAATGGCCATAGCAGTTTTTAATTATAAATGACACAATACAATTTAAATAAAACATAACATGACAAATCAAATAAGGCTGCGGGTCCTAAAAAGCACCAAATAACCATTCTGTGGCACCAACTTAACTATGTTAAGTCCCCCAGCCACTATGTTAAGTCCCCCATCACTACAAGTTGACCTGAACAGCTAGAAGTCACAACACCAATGAAGGGTCCTCAACTAACAAGGACCCCAAACCTCAAATGTCTGCTACAACCTGCTGTCTGCTACAGACCAGCCAGAGTAAGTAAATAGGGCCAGAGAGAAGAACACTCACTAAATGACTTCAGATCTCCGAGCTTCCTTACTCCTCCCAGAAGCCTACCCTTCTGAGCTCTTCCCCGTCAGTCCTTTTCTTCTGACCAACCCAGCGCTTTACATTTTTTTTTCCTTTTTTATTTTTAAAAACAATTAACCCT